TATCCTATTCTTAATCAAGGCACTGCTCACTCCGTGGTCCCAAAATACACGAGCAATGCTTCGAAAACACCTATAATCAAATATTAGTAACATAAGAACATTTCCCATCATTGATGACCCTGTTTCACATCCATAAGGCAGGACGGAATGAACTGCTACGCAGTAAACTTGTCCTTTGGTTTGCAGACAGATATTTCGGCTACGTCACAAGTGACGCAAGTTGGCAAAAGCCAATCGAGCTTTGCAAATCTGTGCCAAGATTTTTTTAGACAGTAGACCTTCAGGACTGATGATACTCACAAGATAAGTGAAATGGTCGATACATTCAACTAATTCATTTTACAAGATATGCTTAAGGTGAGGCAAACACTCATCAAAAGACCTGATGAATCCAGAAATTGAGAAATTTTGTGATAAGTAATTTTTAATGACCAACTAACTGTCACACAATGTTTTCGACTCGATCTTGTAACATCGATTGATCCCGCTGCAATCAAATTGGTAATAACATAACAATGAAATACCTATTCTATGATGAATAAGAGGTTGGTAAAACTATTAGGATCCTAACAAAGTATAGTGTAACACAATACCATAATTGTTAAACGAATTTACGTCCAAAGAAGATAAGATTACTGATCGTTTGAAAGAGAATTTTGTAATATTCCCCAAAAGGCAGTTATACTACTCAACAAACCATTAATAAGTAATTGATAAATGATCTTGGAGAGTAGAGAACAAGTGCTTTAATCATTAATGATCCATGCAGCATTGTAACCTCATTAGCATATTACAAAATAAAATAATAACAATAATACTTACCAAGTCATATTTTGTTTGAGCACTAGTACCTAATAACATTTCCCATACATCAGTAACAAAACCAGGAAGATATGAAGCAAATTCTGGTTCATATTTTGATGCATATAAACTGGCATTATCACAAATTTGTGATTTAATTTGTTCAATTAAAACTGTAGCATTATTATTTTCATTTGTTCCATTGGTTAAATTTAAAGTTGATGCATTTAATTGTAATAAACTACGAAAAAATGTCATCCAATCTTGCATATTATCTTCGAAAAATTCTGGCAAATCCTGAAAAATGTTAAAAATAAGAAGATTGTAAGAGAGAGAATATAAATGGGGACTAGACAGAAACACATAAGATGTGATAGTCAAACTTATTACGATTACATAAATTAACTTTCACACATTGGGAATAAACGATGATAGATTGAAACCTCTGTCCACTTTTCATTTATTCATGGCTTATGAAGGTTTTGGGATATGGATAGGTATTAGACCACAGATATCCTCAAAGTATACTGATGTATGAAGACATTAGATAAGATTATGAGTAGGATTTCCGATAGAAATCTCAAATCTATTGATCAAGCCAAGTAGACGTTCATCAATTTAGGTGGTTTAAGCACATTTAACTACAATCCACTAGGACACGTGATGGTGGCTGGTGTACCAGTAGGTTGGGAAAAGTACAACAAGGATAACCTCATGATAAAAATATTATTTAGACTTCATTGTCTTTCCTTTTTTCAAATTTATCTCTTGGTACGTTAATGTAAAGTGTGAGACTGATGTGGATTGATATCAAGTTTTTTGCTAACCATGCGTGACTGGTTATACGCTTTCGTATTATCGTCGAACGTAACAGGGTATGGAACCTTATAACGTGCCTATTATGTCTTGGAACTGCAGACTATTGTCATATACCAAGTTACCAATCAAAATGCTAACCTTAATTTGGTTTATTTTACGTCTACTATTTACTCGAGAGAAGTAGTAACCAGACTCTACGATATTTACATTTCAAACAGAAATGGTTTATATACGGAAATAAAAGACCGCGCCACACAGTAAGATGGAAATTAATAATTATACATAAGCAAGCCAAAAGTATGGGTGAGTGAGGAAAGCTGTAAATAATCGACCGATAAAAGATTGTCACTTACTTGACAATTAAGACTGAGAAATATTTTACAGACTAGTAGTAAACATTGAAGAACTGTAGTTAAACGTGAGGCATCTGAGATCCGATTCGCTCCAATAACCAAGGCAAGGAGATTCTGTATGCATATTGTAGTTAAAGAAATTAAAAAATTAGAATTAATTAACAACATTTATATGCAAGAGAAGTTTGGAGTAACTGCGGAAATAACTTCTACATTTTCTCAAACAATACGACTAAATTCATTTGTATTCATTGTTTTGATCTTCTCATTAACGTTTAAGTGGTTAGGTGGATAACGCGTTAGCGTTTGAAGTGAATGATACTAGCCTCGAGACCCGGGGTGGATACTAACTCTGGGATGCAGGTATACTCAACTGACGAGTCCCAAATGGGACGAAGTGGGAGTCCTGAATTCCACTGCTAGCCACCATCTATCTCTGACTATAATACGACCGTTAGCGATGTAGACGAAAAATAGACCCTACTTACTTAGTATATACTGTTGACAAATCCAGTTACTGACATCAGGGATATAAAAAAGTCGGATACAAGTGTCTCGGATGTTTACATTTCATGCATTGATTTCAACAGCAGACGAAATAAGAAGCACGGAAAGCATACGTGTCTACTCAAAATACTAAATATTACATGCGTAAATATAAATTAGAATAGATTATGTATAATGAGGCAAGGAAACAGGCATTGGATGAAAAAATAGGTATACAGGCACACAAGTACACATGAGATGCATAAGTGTAGAATTATAAGGGCATGAATGTAAGAAGGATATGTGCTGAAGGTCGTGACTTTTTATACATAGTTTCCACGATAGTAAAAATGACTTAATACATAAATACTGGCTGAGTTATTCGAGTCCGTCTTATAAATCACGTGTGTAATAGTTTAAATACTAAATGATCACATTGACTAACAACTAAAATATAGATTCGTCATTTGTATTTATCTAACCTGAGTTAACATAAGTTATTATAGACTAAGAATTTACATAGCATAGATTAAGGTGGCTAGCAAGGGAATCTAGGACGCGCGTTCTGTTTGATGCGAGACCAATCGGTAGGATTTTCCTGAATCCCAGAGGTGATGTTAACCACAATTTCCAGCTCTGGGGTCCAGGTAATTTACTTGGCCAGTCCTAAATAGGACGAAACTCCCGTCATGTATTCCGCTGCTAACCACATTGCACAGGATGCGCGCATCTCAACTAAGACCAATCAAACCATTTAAAATATCAATGGCGGAATTAACTGAATTATTACAAATCGAATTAATAGATTACAACTTTTTAAACGATTTCCGATAATTAGTTCATTACAGAAATCAAATCCAACTACGTTCATTGCTTTGAATTTCATTTTACTCAAGTGTTGCATATTTTATTTAATTGATAAAACTATTCACCAGGTACTGAGAAATGGGCCATACTCCAATTTCGAGGGTTGCTCAAATCGAAGCGGGGGAGTTCGAATCTGCGATTTATTGGCCGAAAAAGGAATGCTTTGCCCACTTAGCTAATAGAAAGTATTATGGATCATGTGATAATCAACTACAAGTATCACCACCATGATTATTATTTATAGTACTTGTTGTTGTGGGAATTCAAAAATCATACAAGGCGAGACTACAATTTATGGACGGACCAATCAGATTCAAGATGATGAGTCTAGTACTTTGGCACGAAGTTCATTCATCCATATGGTCCAATAGCATTTTGTCATTACAGCTGATGTCAGCTCGTGATGAAAACTCGAACTTTAGCTTCCCTCAAATGCCCTGATACGACCGAGGGTGGGGGAAGTCAGCTCACCTTCTCCAAATGCCCTCACATGGCCACGCATATACAGATACTGCTAGGGAAGTCTTACTCACTGACTTCTCGTGGCATCACTGTTCTTTACGGAATTGAGAAGAAAAATGAGTGTTTGGCGCTTTGACCGGGTTGGTGAACACAGAGGCTTCACCTAGGGGAATTGGGAAACCCTGATTCAAAACCAATGGTGCACATGGACTCCAGGATCCCGAAGGAACAAATGGCGTATGAACCAATTATTGGTCACCGTCTACCATGGGACTCCATCTCCTTACGATGCTCTACTGCCTTGTGGTTTAGACCTTTAGGTCGAACTCTCTGGATGTGGCCCCTAATAAAACCACCTGCTTTGGTTTAGGCACCTGAGCAATCTTGATAAATACATACATGATCAATTTGAATACGAGAAAATTGCATAATAACATGTATGTGAAGCTCTCATTAATAATAATGATATAAATATACCTTAGCAAGTTCCGTAAGTGGTGCACCGAATTGACCAATCACAAGTTTCATTTCTCTGTACAAATCTGGACCAGCGCATTCGTGACGATATCTGGAAGGATTAAACAACGTAAAGGATAGATTAATACCCCGTCGCAATATATGTAACGAAAGCATGGAAGAAGGTTTAGATAATCTTAAAACATACATGATATTTATGTGCCATTTCTATATTTAGGTTTGTGAAAATCAACTTTCCGAAACTAGATTTAGCTAGTTATAATCATTTGATACAGTGAAAGCCTTGTAGACTTGATTCATAATAAATGAGGAACTCGGGTTTAGTTGTCTGATACTGTGAATTATATTAGCTTTCATACATAGTACATGAAATGTGGAAATTTCACTGATAGCATGATAATTTGAAAAATAATAATCTCAGTACATAAAGACTACAATGTGATGTAGTTTGATGTGGTAATAAAAATATACTTCTTTCACGAGACTAGACCAAAAGACAAAATGTTTGGTAGGGAAAAGTTTGTGACAAAACCAGTACGAATGGTCGTTTTGATCGCCAAAAACCGAACGGTAAACAATGATAAAGACATTTAAGTTAACAGATTAGAGTCCTATTCGAAATAAAATATAAAAACCATAGATACCTTTTAAACAATGTATGAGCTGTATAAAGAACTCCATGGACCATATTTAAATCTGCGCCAAGTTGTGCCATTCTTTGCACTAATTCAGGTATCAAATTCGGCCATTTTCCGGGAAGTCCTCTCGCCAAATTGTACTTATGGCTTCGGAAAGTTGTGATTGGATATTCCCTGCTACAGAAAGCATAGCTCCAATAAGTTGATTGCGTAATCCTTCACGATCAGATGCATGTATACGATCTGTCTCATCTGAGTCCTAGAAAATGAATTACGACACATCTTCATTAGTGATATGATAACTATATATATATATATATATATATATATATATATAGGTGTTATGATATATTAACAACTAACGGTCTTAAACACTAGGTATACACCCACGAAATCCATTATTTATTTACTCATTATAATAACCGTCGTGATCGGAGGTGATAGTAAGAATATGTAACTTACAAAATACCATCCATAAGACAAAGCGTAAGTCAGTTATACAAAACTCAGATAAAATCAACGGTTCAGCTTAAGTGGTACAGTTTAATGTAAGAAAAAATTAGGATGATACGAAGTATGAGAGTGAAAACTAAAAGACTTATCATTCATACGCGTGTGAATGGACAATGATAGCTCCGCACCACAATAGTTTAACTATACCACAAAGTAGGGGAAAAGCTAGGACCAATATGAGCCCATTGAAAGAGGAAGTGAAACACTTAGGTAGCAGACTTTCGTACTTGAACGACTATGTAGTAACAAAGACAACCCATGGGTAATCACAAGAGCATATGGTACTTACAACTTGCCAGTGATTCTTGATGAAGTTTTTCAAAGTGATAGCTGCAGCTATTCGTGTTGGGGAAGGGACATTCGGATCCTGAAGAATATGGAGCAAGCATAAGCAATACGACGGGCGTAGTTCCACAGCTTTAAGATATGCCTCTGCCGACCTTCTGGTTTCTCTTTCTGGTGAAACAGTATGTTGTAAACAGTTAGTTAATTCATTTATGAACGATGGATCCATACTAGAACCCAAAATTGAGAAGCGTGCGCGGCACCTAGAAGCAAACTTGAATGTTTCGCGCTAGGTCCAATGTCCAATAGTAAATTTGTGTGAACATATACAGATTCCTATTCGAATTTTCGTAATAATATCTGGTATTCTTTCTTAAATAATCTTAAATTTTTCTTTCATCACCTTGAATTTCACAGAGACACTATGGGATATTTTGTGTGACTTGGTGAGCTAGATAGATATTCATATCCCGAAAAAGACTGTGGAATCAAATGAGTAATGAAGGTCATTCTGCACTGGACAAAAACCAACATGGGATGATAAGATAACACGAATCGGTGGATGATGGTTAGAAAGTACATGGAACAACTAAAAAGAAAGGAAACTTTCAATGGTACTTTCAATAAGTACCTAAGATTGTTAGTCCCATGAGTATCCGATTTTGAAGCCGACGACTTCATGTATATTCAGAGCTTGAAAGTGTTGTTGTTTTTAACACCATCATAATCAAAGACTCTGAATTCAGTCAAACCAGTAGCCAGAAATGGAAGTGTTTATTGGTTGTAATGACATGTATATTCAATGATTTTTGTAACAACAAAATAAAGACCAATTTTTCTCTTTATTTGGTACGCTCCATATGTGATCACACTTGTATTCAATATCTATTATTTGTTTGTATGCTTTGTTAGACATAATCTTTTGTCTGTTCTAAGACACACACTACTGGTGAAACGGTCAGCGACTGGCCTGTTTCATTAATCCGTTTTTCCCCTATATCAATTAGTAACCCAGGCTTTCTATGTACTAGTATAATATTGTCCGTTTCAGACAAAGCTGTTTTAGTGTTCTGAAGCATAATTACTTGTTTTCTGTGGTCCGACTTAACGATCGTCTGTAAATTAGTGGCCAATATCCTAGCTTGCAACCTGCCACAGAAAGACATGTCAACATAACGCGAGCCGCTTGCTTGGCTATAGCGTACTCTCTATGCACTCGCCTCTTAATCTGCCTCAAATAAGACTCAAATGGGAATGCAGAGCGTAAACAGGAAGGTACTTCAATAAATGCACATTATAAACTAAGTTTTCAGGTTCATAACACCAATCATATTCGTTAAGAAAATTAAGTTAACCATCTCCGCACGCTATTTAAAAAGGACAGTGGTATTTTTCCTCGCTGAGTAAATTTCATTGTTTTGATCGTTTATTACGTATCAAGACTACTGTTTTCACTTTAATTGAATTCATTTCAGTTAAAGTATTCGACTAGTGTACTGTTTTTACCGTTCTCTCAATTAGTTTTGTCGCTGATACTGTTGAGTAACTCTTTTTCAACTGTATTTGTTAGTACTTTTGGTCCTAACAATCTACAGTTCTTTTTTTGGTCCTTGATTATTTTTTTGATTTCTGAGTATCATCGCATCTCGTTCCTTTTTGAAAAGGACTCCTTTTAAATGACCGAACAGTGTAAAAAAAGCAGTTGCCAACGTCCGGGTTGTCGTCATCCCGTTGAAAGCGGCATGCAGTGCGACGAGTGCAAAAGCTGGTACCACGAAGTTTGCACGAACTTAACGCCTGCGGATTTCAAACGGTTCAGTAAGAAGGGTTGTGTATGGCTTTGTTAACAGTGCTGCTCGGATGCAAACAGCTTGTTAACCGAGGCCATCTCACTGGTTGATGCTGCAAAGAAATGTTTTGGCGAGCGTAGTCGGAACACGTCAAACAGCACTCGATCTGTCGACACACAAATCGACATGAAGCAACCTAAGGTTAGTTCAATAGTAGATGGCTCACGCCGGTCAAAGAAGGGAAAGCTCAAGAAAAAAAGGTTCTTCTGTTCCCCGTCTCCCAGATGGGATCCAACTGGAAACGCCTTGAAGAAGCAATCGCAATGCTCGATCGGTTTCAAGCGGTAAACATAACCTGACCTCTCTGGTTGTCGAAAACCCTCCAGAATCCAACACTAGGTTTGACGCAACTGCTGTTGCTTCTCCCAGCACCGTTGACGAGTGGGTACAGGTTGTAAGGAAGAAAATAAGTAGCGATATAAAAGGTAATCCTACCTCCGCGAAAGTAGTCGTAAATTCGAAAGCTGATCATGGCGACAGATCAGCTATTTTTCATAGAATCAAGGAGAGCGAGAGCTCTGAACCTAAAGCTCGTTTTGAGCATGGTGTTGTACTGATTAGGCAGCTGCCTAATCAACTCATACCTCAAAATATGACCGGGGTCACCTTGCTAAAGGTGTACAGACTAGGGAGTCTAGCGGACTTGAAACCAAATCATTCCAGACTGCTTAAAGTAGTATTCAACTCTTCGAACGAACGTGACCTAATTTTACAGAATGGACACAAATTAAAGGGTTCAGGAGTCTTTATCCGAAAGGACTTACCGTTGGCAGACAGTGTTAAAATACGGGAAGTCGACAAAGAACTACAACATGGGTTAGACGCTGGCGAAAAGGACCTGAAAATTGTAAATTTTCGGGTGGTGAGGCTTCGACAGGGGATGATGCCGAAGCCGCTCTGGGTGAAGCACGAAGCCACTTGAACAGGCTTCGGATCTGTTACACTAATGCCCGAAGCTTACTTAATAAGCGATCGGAACTAGGTGTACAGATTGACTCTACAAAGCCAGACATAATCGCAGTCACAGAAACCTGGCTGACACAGGCTATGGAACTTGACCTCCACGGTTTAACGTTAGTAAGGGCCGACAGAATACAAAAGCGTAAAGGAGGGGGAGTAGCTCTGTTAATTAGGAATGCTACCCCATTTGCCATTGTCGACAGTGTATGCCATGAGAGTGGGACGTGTGATTTAGTTAGTCTCCGCTTGAAATGCAAAGGAAAAGAAGTGCTGATTGGTTTGGTCTATCGCAGTCCAAGCCGTGAGGTAAATGAAGTCCTGCTGAGCAGTCTCAATACTTGGTCACAAAGTGGTCGATGTCTAATCCTAGGGGACTTTAATGCACCTATGATAGACTGGGAAAATCTGCGAACTGAATCGTCAGAAAATTCCTTCGAGCAGGAACTAGTTGATGCGGTTATCACATGTGCTTTAGTGCAACATGTGAAAGAAGCGAATAGGTACGACCCGGACACTGAATCATCCTTATTAGATCTTATACTGACTCACTATGAGGATGATGTTGCGAACCTCCATCATATGCCACCCCTAGGTAAAAGTGACCACGCAGTTTTAACTTTCGACTTCCATATAACTGCCAGTCACGAGCACGCGTCAGTCCAGTCCAGACCCAACGTCTGGAAAGCAAACATACCAGACATCATGCACTCAGCATCGTTAATAGATTGGACAATAGACCCAGAGTCCTCCATTGAAACGGCCTGGGACGCATTTCGAAATTCATACTTAAAAGTTACCACACCTCACATCCCTTGGACTATACCAAAGGGGCCGAAAAACTCCCCACCATGGTTCAGTAGGGAGGTCCGTATCCTTCTCCGTAAGAAAAGGAAAATGTGGGATAGATTTAGGTTACTGGGGACTGATGAGTCAAAATCTCAGTATCGAAAGGCTCGGAATACTTGTGCCTCGACCCTCCGTAAGTCTAGAAAATTGTACGAAGAAAAACTTGTTAAGGAATCCATAGAATGTCCTAAACGCTTGTATTCCTATATAAACCAAAGGACAAGGAGAAGAGGAAATATTCCTGCTCTATGGGGAGACAGTACTGCTTCATCATTAGTGGAGGACGACTTTGGTAAGGCTCAAGTGTTCTCGAACTACTTTAGCAATGTATATACCATAGAAGCACCCTTCCCATCAGCGTATACAGATCCCCCCACACATACACTGGATAGCGTGACCATTAAAGAACTCGATGTCTTTGGTCTGCTAAATAAGCTTGACATAGGTAAATCCACGGGGCCCGATGAATTACATCCTAGGCTACTGAAGGAATTATCTAACTTCGTTGCAAGCCCTTTAAGTACATGCTTTAACCTATCCGTTACGCAGGGTCGTTTACCCAAAGACTGGAAAAACGCCATAGTAAGTCCTGTCTTCAAAACAGGTACGAAACACAAACCTGAGAACTACCGCCCCGTTAGCCTAACTAGTGTGGTTGTTAAAATCTTAGAAAAGATTATTCGGAAGGAGCTGTTTAAGTATCTCGATAAAAACCGGATCCTCTCGGAGAAGCAGCACGGCTTCAGAATAGGTTATTCTTGTCTCACTAACTTATTAGTGGCTCGTGAAAGCTGGTGCGCTCTTAAGGACCAAAAGCTACCTGTAGACGTCGCCTTCATTGATTTCAGTAAAGCTTTTGATAAAGTTCCGCACAACCGGCTGTTATATAAGTTAAGAAATGTCGGGATTGGAGGCAATTTATTGATGTGGATAAAAGACTTCTTAGTTGGGCGTCAACAAAGAGTAAGGGTGAACTCAAAGTTATCTAGCTGGGAAACTGTGCTTAGTGGAGTGCCCCAGGGTACAGTTTTGGGGCCAGTGCTATTCCTCTTGTATGTAAATGACCTTCCTTGTCTCCTATCATCATCGGTCTTGCTATATGCTGACGATGTCAAGATATGGAGAACGATACGATGTAAGAGTGATAGCTTAGAACTTCAAAATGAAGAAATTATCTGAATGGTCTCAAACATGGCAGTTGCCGATAAATACTTCCAAGTGTGTTGTGATGCATGTCGGTCATCGAGGTACAGATACATACACGATGAATAACACTGAGCTACCTGTCGTCCAGACATATAATGACTTAGGGGTCATCGTTAGTCAAGACTTAAAGACTACTGCACACTGCCGTGCAATAGCCGCCAAAGGTTTTAGAACCTTATGGTCAATACGTAGGGCTTTTAGTCATGTCGACGCTAAGACGTTTTTGACTTTGTATACAGTGTTCGTACGTCCTAAACTTGAGTTCTGCATACAAGCGGCCAGCCCCTGCTTAAAAAAGACAGTGAGCTTCTGGAAAAGGTTCAGAGAGCTGATTTCCGGAATAGCGAAGCTTCCATGTGAAGCTCAA